TTCTCTCTCTCTCTCTCTCTCTCCTCTCTGTCTCCTCTCTCTCTCTGTTTCCTCCCCCCCCCCCCCCTCTGTGTCTGTGTTTCCACTTGGCTGTAATGGATATGTTTATATGGTTGGGTCCAGTCTGTCCCAGAAGAATAACGTCTATAAGATCTGAATATATCATGGAGGTATGAGATCTCCGAACTCTTGTTTGCAAAATAGGCAACACGTTCAAGAATCGAAAATCCCTCTGCATGTTAACGTTTCATACCTATCAAACCTTTGCTACTACAAAACTCCATATGTTGTATTTGTTGTGCCCTTAGATCAACTGCTGGAGTTCGAGCATTTCCTGGGCGTGTTCGGGATGAACACGTGGACGGAGAAGGTGATGACGGACGTCCCGATGGACAACATCTACACGCCGCGGGGTCCGTCCCGGGCCGCTCAGTCCGCCGGCGCCGTCAGCCAACAGGAGGACAAGCAGGAGGACGAGCAGAAGCGGCCTGACAGTGCAGCATCGTCCACACACAACAGCACCTTCGACAAGTTCATCGCCATCAGGGGGACCCATCCCACGCGGCGCTTCAAGCACAGCTCCCGCAACCCCAGGGACTGCGTCACCATCTACGATAGCCCGATGAGTTTCCTGCGGGGCGTGGCCTCCCGTGCGTCCGTCCGGTCCGCGCTGTCCTGGGACGCCATGTACGTGCACGACCTGACCCCTCGGGAGACCACCCCGGCCCCGTCCCCCCGCACGCCCAAGACGCCCTGGCTGCCTCCCATCATCAACGATGCCGCCGTCTCGCCCACCAAGAGAACCGCGCGAGCGGTGACGTTCGGCGGGGAGCAGACGCCCATGGAGCCGGAGAGACCAGTCAGCACGACGGGTTCGGACAAGGAGAACATGGACGTCACGAGCTAAGGAACTAACTACGCTATGGAGATCACTAACAACAAGGTCACACTGGAGACAGAACTCTGGTAGCAACGCGAGAGAAAAATCCAAGATTGGACTTATTAATTGTTACAGTACATATAGTAATAGGTAAGGCCTTATTAAGGTGAGATGACGTCAAGCGTCCTCGGCGCTTCGTAACTTACTGAGGCCTAGGAAAATCAATGTTGTGTTTCCGGTTTCAGCCCTGGAAAACATAGGGTCATTTGGTAGGAATTTTCTTAACCCATTCTTTATGTTAAATTTTGGCTAAAATGATCCAACAAATGCAGTTTCACAAGGCATTGCGACTGCCTCTTGGAGCAGATCACCTGTTTGCTTGTGGATAAATATTTCACCCGATTTACTGAATGAAAATTGTTTCTAAAAACGCATGCGTTAGATGGCGTTTCAGAATTCAGAGAGTTTGAAATTCAGATATCAGATCCAAAATTGTATAGCCTTACCAGCGGTTTATCAAAAAAAAGTTAGGGTCGGTGGGTTTTTTGCTAGGGTCGGTCGGGAAACCGGAAACACAACATTTTTCTAGGCCTGAGAGGTTTCATTTTGTTACGATTGAATTTATAAGTTGTGGGACAGTAGTAAGTCCTTTAACATTTTGCCTGGAGTGGTCTCTTTTATTGAATATATATGAGAAACCACAGTTCATGTTACAGCTAATAGCTCATTTCTGTTGTAATCATAAGAGATTTCCCTCTTCTTGTACCACTCGTAGAAAACTGTGGTTATTTTTACTGGAAAGGTGTGGGGAGGAAAAGCATGGTGATTTTAGGACATAACATCAGTAGTGGCACTACGTATGAGCCATATGTCACCCATGAGCTATGTGTGAGCCATGAGCCATGTGTGAGCCACAACTTTGATGTACACCAAATCAGAAAAGTGTAAATAAAATATTTTGTACATCAAGTAGGTGTATACAGTGTCTAGGAAACTAGTTACTAGCGTCACGTTGAAACGAGCGAGTTTTAGAGAAATTATATTGCTTTGCAGGATACTTTGGATAATTTAGTATTATCGATATATTAGATTATCTTGATTATTAATACATTGTACTACAATTGCACATCAATACGCGTGCCGCTGCTTTGTTATTTCTTTGGATGTTGAACGCTTGTAATTCACAGCACAAATACTTCAGTATCACGGAGGGAACTATTGTTGTCATGTCAAGTTTCCAAAATATAGCGGTGTTTACATTGTGGTACAGTACATACAAAACAGTGTGTACATTAGATCGTTTATATGGGATTGTAACTCTGGTGACAATACAATGTGGGGACAAAAAACACGTGCCTGGATTGGATATTCAAGATGGCTACAAATGGAGCTTTGCAGGCAATTCTATTGCTTTATTTCTTGAAAACTACGAGAATAAACCTTTATTTTGAATTGAACAGTCTGCGTTCTGTCATGATGACGCACGTTGATTAGGCAAGAGTGGCGTGAATGAGTTTAGGTCACTGGGTCAAAGGTAAAACTCATCAACAGACAGCAGGACATACCGTACGTGTACCTGGCTGAGGTGAAAACCGAGACCACCTGTTTTGGACGTACCAAACGATTTCTCACGAGACCTCCCGCCAAATGTTACACCTCAGCAACAGTCAGGCCGCCGAGCTGGTGGAAAGGCTGTACGGTTTGGATGTGGAATCAGTGACGGACCTGGACAGTTATGGCGACTATAACTTCCATGTGAAGGTGTCCGGTGTTCACGAGGAGCACCACGGGTACGTGTTAAAGGTCATGAACGCAGAAGATTCCCGTGACGAAGGTGAGGCGCTTACGTCTTACGATTATAAAATATCCTTTGACTACGTGGTATTTGTTTATCTTATCTCACTCACCAAAATATACATGTCTACGCCAGACTCGGTTGCCAAAAGTTGCAATTGTCTGAGTGGTACAACAAGTAAGTAATGCCCCGAGGGACATTGGCAAACTGGCTACTGTCATTAGGCCATTCTTGCGATCCTTTTGAGTTTTGTGATGCATTTACTAGTACTCTGCTGGGAGTCAGACTGGATATCGGGCCGTTAGCCAGTTCCCTTTGGTGTACCAAAGTAATGCACCCACCTATAAGATCAGTTATGGGGAGTGGTAGCTGAGAGAGTGGTACTAGTTTATAGTGGTGGATTCTACATGTATATTGGGAGTGAATTAGGCGGCGTATTGGATACTGCTTGGCCAATTTGATACTGTCTTGCCAGTCTGAAAACTGTATTGCAGCCACCCGGATAACAGCTCGGAGATAACCCTATAGCTATATCCAGTCTGGTTTCCAGGGTACATTGTGTATAATGAACAGCGTTAACAGGTCATCCAATCTTTAGGACAACTACTTGTTTTAAAACTATCGTCCGTCTGAATTCTGTTTGCCTCCTAACTCCGATCCCATGCCATGACTAAGCTTGTAACGATCCAAGTTCCCTGTCTCTGTCGCTGTCACTCCCAGAACAAATCACAGCTCAAACAGCGATGATGACCTTCCTGTCCACCAGAGGTTTCCCCGTTCAGAGACTGCAGCAGAACCGCTGGGGAAAAGTCATGAGCCTGGAAACCTTCCAATGGAAACAACATGGTATGTGAGTGCCAAGATAATGATAACCCCCAATCCATCAGCTACCCTGTGATAACATAGTTAAAGGCATCCAGTGCAATTTCGGGGCGGCAGAACAAAAGACAAAACTATTCTGGATGAAGAGACCTGTCTGATAGATCGATCTATTGACGTTCTGAGCACATTTCCATCATTATTCCATACTTGAAATAGCCCTAAAATAAGCCACATGAGGAGTTTATCTTTATCTTTTTGGTACAGGCCATAAAAAGCTAGAACCAGCCTACGATACAAATACAAGTAACCGTTTTCAGTCAGCGACATCGTATTTTCGCCTCACAGATCAGATATCAGCATACCATGGTATAGGATTGATTCAACTTACTACATTTATAGAATAAGCAGAAAAGTGATCTTGGAAACCCAGAAATTGCATTGGATGCCTGTAAATATTTTGACGTTTATATCAACGAATATATTTCTTTAAACCTGAATAAACGCCCCCCCCCCCTCTCCTCCGACGAAAAAGGTACACAGGTCTCCTCTGATCACAACGTCCGTCTCATGACGTACCTTCCCGGCATCCTTGGCAGTGACGTCACTTTTGACTCCAAGTCCTTGCTGGCTGCTGGTGTGTATCTGGCCAGACTTCATCAGACTTTACAGGTCAGACAATAATACAGGAGTTGTCTGACCTCCGAAAATAGTTTCATCAGGTTGGTAAAGTGTTAGATGCAGGAGTTTTCTTTTACACAACCAAGATAGTTACATTGCTGAGTGGAGAGGGAATGGTTCAGTGACTCCTTTGATATACGGGATTATCACCAAGCCCTTGGTTTTACCTCCATGAAAAGTGGAGGTATCGTTTTTGGCGTGTCTGTGTGTGTGTGTATGTGTGTGTGTGTGTGTGTGTGTCTGTCTGTCTGTCTGTTTGTGTGTTTGTGTTTCCGCACATTTTAGTCAGCATAACTTCAGAACGCCTTGATGGATTGTGATGATATTTGGTATGCTGGTAGGTCTTAGGAAGACAAAGGTCAAGGCCAAATATGGTGGATGACTTTTGTACTGTAAACTATGCAAATGAGGACTTAATTTGCATAATTAAGGAGGAAAGTCTACAATTACAGTGTTTTATATGATAGTATTTTTTCGTTTCACGAAAAGTAATTTATGCCTTCCTCTCTAGCCGACACCTTAATAAAGAATAGGAATAAACAATAGCCGACACAGTTCATTCGTTTGGCGGGAATATAAGGTATTTTAATACTGACATGGATTCAATACAAATAGATATTGATAAACAGCTATAGAAACTTGTGTACGATTCACAATGCTCGTTGAGACATGATGGTTACCATGACAACCGAAACACACATCTTATGAACAGATTTTCAGTGTAAAAATATTATGCCAATCTTACAACTTTTCCATAGATTGTACACTTTCTACCGTAATGTTAGTCAGGATTTTTTCCCACCACCAAACAGAGCTATCGCGATAAAGAACCCGCCAAACGAGCCCGCTTAAGGAGATTATTTTTCATAAAAAATTATCATAATTCTTCAGAAACATCATATCTACCATATATCCAAATTTCACATGTCTGCGATGAGTACTTTTCCCGCGGGAGAGGTTTAAAGTCATGTGAAAAATGCAGTGTTCTAAGGCTATATTGCCAAGCCTCGGGTCCCAGGGAGCGTCACAATGGAGCAATTAGAAAACTACCGTTATTTCAAACATGGCTTTTCTCAAAACGGTTATAACGGAAATAAATTCTGCTCGTGTCCTTGGCTATTGATATATGTGTTCTTTTAGTGGTTTCGGTGCCGCATACTTGCAGAAAACGTTCTTAACAGTTGGTATCGATGACGTCAGGCAGTGACGTCATCGGGTCCCCTGGGAAAACAGCATGGGGTCGCGTTTTAGGTTCGTCGCTTTAAAGTAAAAGGAAGAATTCGTCAGATTTCGACCTTGAATGATAGACCAGGGTTCGCGCTTTCCGAATCAAACGCGTCCGACACCAAACTCTTCACTATTTCGCCGTGAATGGCCTATTAAGTACCAAAGCGCTCCTTAAATGTGTGAAAGGCTGCATTATTACGAGGTGCAAAACACAATCTGGGTGATATTGCCGTGGCTAGGAGCAAGAAGTTGAAATAAGCGCTGCAAAGATGTGAGAAGTACTTATTAGGCTATCACTTAACACCACCCAAAGGAAAGAAAGTCGCGAATTTAAGGAGCCCTGAACCGAACATCAGAAAACCCAGTTTTGCCTTAAGAAGGCTTAAAACACTTCGATTTTGCTGTTAAATGTCAGTTTAAGTCACCATAAATAGAGACACTTCGCCGAAATTATACGAAAGTCAAATTCAGAGGTCGACTCATATAAAATGACATAGAAAGTGAATTCATGCAAGAACTGTTTACCTTCCAGAAACGATTAAAATTGCCCTGACGGGGATTTCGGGGGGGGGCGGAAAGGGGGAGGGGGGCGCCTAGGGCCTGGGCATGAATATACGGACTTTTTTACTCGAAAAAAGCAAAATGATGCGGTTTTTTGTCAGAATCGGATAACTTTTGCCAAACCTTTAAAATCCATACGAATGACGTCATCGATGACGTAATTTTTTGCGCATGCGCCGTGCTTTTAAGGTCTCGGACCGGAGTTTTTTTCACGATTTTGGATCCGGCGGACACCCTCAGACCGAAGGGCTATAACTCCGCCAAAAAAAGTACGCCGGGAAATCTCATTACATCAGTCAACGGAGGTTTCCAGCTGGCTTCCTATACAATTTTGGTTATTGTCCGTCGACTCTATAATTTGGGTAGAAACTGTAGTTAAACGTAAATTTTGGATACGAAAAATGTAGTTTTTTTGCAGTTTTTTCAACGGACCTGCTAGGAAAAACGAATTTTCCCAGGCTAACGGCTTATATGCTGAAATAGCTTACTACTTCCTGTTTCTGAAAAACAGAAAAAAAATATAGGTTGTTGCGATAAGTTTTTCGCAAAATCCGGCGACGCGAACCCCTAGAAATTCCACATAGAACGCAGCTATTTGGGTCATCAGGCGACAAACCGCATCACCCTTGCTCGCGGACTAATACCAAAAACGCTTCGCTGGCCGTCCAACTTCACCGCGCCGAAAAACACTACAATCCCAAGGCTTTTTGATCAATTCAAAACCTAGTTGAAAATCCACAGCGATCGCCGAGCTATGGGGAGCCAAACCTAGCGTGACAACCTCGCAGATCCGGCGATTTACTGCGCACTATTTGGAACCCTGGTCAGAATTAAACTCCGACCCGGAACCTTAGGCGAACATGTCGCAAACCCAGTCAAGAATGGGAACGATTGGAAAGTATGAGTCACAATTCTGTAATGTAGAGAGTTCGCGTCAGGGTTTTCTTAAAGGGGAATCGTCAATCTGTACTGATGATGCAGTTGATATCTGGGCATCTCGCCACTGAATCAACGGTTGCATTATTTACATGTTTTTTAAAGCTGCTGTGATGTCCCCCCTTACACTTTTGTAGTATAACAGGTTCCCGTGTGTGGATAGGTGCAAACCGTCCCTAGCAAAGTAGGCGGGAAAGTTTCTCTGAGCGAGCCTTATATGCGACCAAGTGGAGACGTTAGGAGTTTCCCTTGCTGCAGCACGTAGCCGGTTTCTGATCATGGTGGCCATACTGACAATTTGGAGGGCCACTATGTCCGGCTCCTCATACGAGTCACATAGATCATTACACCATAGTTCTAAGAAAACTAGGTCCGCCTGTGGGAAGTTGGCGCAAAGTCGTCCGAAGTTCGCTACTTTCCCACCGGAGAGGTACAGCCATTTTACTACAGTATTGTCAAGCCAAAAATCACGGCTTACTGCTCTATGGCCGTGCGATGTTCAACAAACGCATCCAATCGACTGATAAAAGAGTGTCCTATGACCAAGACTGTTTTGCCCGGGGGACCCCCACTCTCCGCCATGTCCAAAGAATGAAGAAATAAAACCTACCGCAAAAAGTAGATGCACTCACTCTCCTGGAGAGTCAGCACGAAGCAAAACTGGAGATGCACTTCCTCGGAAAGTCAGGACAGAAAGATTTTTATCAGATATCCAAGCAAATGTGCGGCCTGCAGTGCTGTATTTTGGCCACAGTGTTTTGGAACCGAGCACTGGCCCGCCCGATGAAGCACATGGTTTTTACGGATTCTGATTGGTCAGTTCTTCGGGCTCGGCGTCACTTACAGGTTCCAAATAAGGAATCCCCGCGCTTCTACGAAATATGAGCCTAGCGGGCTGGAGTCGACAATCGTATCCGGCATAAATTTGTATTTATACATGTAATCTATTTAATCTGTGGCAGGCGGAACATCAACAGATACCAATTATGAAAATGATGACCTAATTTCCATAATTAATGTGAAGATTTTGTGACTCCTTATTGGTGAATGATGGGAATCTTATACCTTGTGACATGTGTAAGTTACTTAAAGGTTAACACCACTATGCATATATTATGTTAATGCTGAGGTCATTTTTTTAATTCCAACATGTAATCACCAGACGTGGTGACGACGCACTCAAGTTTCTTCAACTTATATTAATACCGCCACCAACACAGGGGACAAATACATTACAGGACAATACTCATTTACACCTGAGCTAAGTGAGGAAAGCCGTGTAAAGTGCCTTTCCCAAGGGCACAAGATCGGTGGCATGTCAGGACTCGAACCCGGGACTCTTAGTTCCGAGTCGCGCACTCTGCCGCTACGCCACCCGACACCCACCGAGGTCATTTGCACAATTTAATGAGGACCTGTTGAAATAAAGTATGACAAATGAGAGGAATTGTACACGAAAAATATTCTCATTTGAATAAAAAAAAAAATTACTTTAAACTAGATTATGCTAATTACGACCTTATTTCCATTGTCAATGAGACAAATAAAAAAAAACATGGGGTTTGAGATCTCCGAATTCTTGTTTCCTCTTGTTTCTTGCTCCTTTCTGCCTGTTTCAGTCTCTTCACTCTCCACGTTTGGGATTGTGTTCTCGCCGCAAAAGCGCCACCTACATCGGCTACATATAGCGGCGAGAAGGAGAACTCCAGTCAGAAGCTCTGAGCAATGTGTCTGATAGACACCGAAACGTCAGCAAAGTAAACTTTCTTGGTTGTGTAAAAGAAAGCTCCCGTATCCTACATTTTACCAGCCTGATGAAACTATTTACGGAGGTCAGACAACGGTTCCTGTGGTATTTCAAATACAGTACACAGCTGCCAACAACAGTCACGGATTATTCATTGACTGAACAAGAAGTACAGACTTTTGTATGGCTTCTACAACTAAAGATCTAACAAAGCTAAATACATGTAACGTCTTGTTACGTATATATGTATGCGGCAAACTACGTACAGAATATATGTCAGCAACAACAATTAACATTTAGTCTTTAAGATTTCATTTAAAATGTTTTAAAGCATTCTTTAATGTATTTAATTAATTTCCCTATTTGAGCACTGT